AATACTGACCAATTCGACTAATTTTATAAACAAGGACAAATTTTAAGTCATCATATCTTGTCGATGAAATATTTCATTCTTATCAATCCATCTCAGATAAAGTACTGATTTTAAAAGTTAATTATTGTCACATCATGACTGCTTCTCATTTTCAAATCAAAATTTCATTTCATGAAATTTTTGAATTGCGGAAATTTTGACATAGACAGCTTTGACTAAAAAATTTTGATACAGGAATGTTGTATTCAAAGGAATTGTTGTTGAAATGTTTTTAAAAAAAATATTGTGGAGAAAAGAAAAGTGATAATACGATAAAATAGAATGCATCACTAAATAGATGAGCAACCGTATGAAATGCTAAGAGGCTTCAAGTGCTGTGATTAAGAAAATCCTTTTCGTTGCCAAAAATTTACTTCCATGTTTTTACATAACATTTCATCAGTAATTTGGTGATAGTGACACTTAACTGCAAGTTTTTCATGCATGGAATGCAAGTTATTTGCTTGCCACATATGCATTAATAATGAAAAGGCTCCTTGGCAAGATGCAAGTAGACACGAAACGGGAAATTTTATTCACTAAGACAAGAGAAATAATAAAGAAATCTTAAAGGGACAATGCTAATATACATATGAAGCAATGAAATGCTAACAATACAACAAAGAGTAATGAATTTAACTTATAGAAAATACAACAAAATAGCAATGCACAATTTCGGTTTAAAATATGTCTATCAGTTCATTCAAGAGCAATTCTCCATGTGTTTTTTCCAATAGAATTCCGTCAGAAAAGCCTTGCTGCATACAGGGCAGCTGAATCTGAGCCTATTATTGTCATGAATCTTCATGTGAAGTTTCATATTATTTGATTGCGAGAATGTTTTATTGCACACAGAACAAGCGTGCGGTTTTTCATTAGTGTGAGTCCTCGAATGCCTAAGCCAACTCGATGAAACGGTGAAATTCATCCCACATTCCAAACAACTGTACGGTTTTTCACCGGTATGAATCCTCATATGTTTAAGCAAACTCTCGTCCTGGGTGAAATTCCTCGTGCATTCCGGACAAGAAAACGGCTTCTCACCGGTATGAATCCTTATATGTTTATGCAAACTCCCTTTCTCGGTGAAATTCCTCGTGCATTCCGGACAAGAAAACGGCTTCTCACCGGTATGAGTCCTCATATGTCTACGTAAATCCGATGGCGCAGTGAACCTCTTCGGGCATGTTTCGCATTTGAACCGCTTTTCATCCGTGTGAGTCGAACGCTCTGGATGCTTCCTTTTGATGTTACCTTTGTTTCCTTTGGACTGTTTCCTTTCGATTGTTTGGATGTTGGACGTTTCATTTTGATACCTCGCACGCCAGATTTTCTTCGGCATATTTCCTATACTTGTTTGTTCCCTTCTCACTTCTTGAATTGGTGCGTTTAACGAGCTTGCGTCATTCTGATCAATTTTCTTGAATTCTATTTGTTCCTCTCTCACATAAGGCGCTGATAGAGCTGATGGTCCAATCCGTCGTTCATACATTCCTGACATTGACAAATCCAACGGTTCCTTTTGTGGCTCCTCAAATTATATGAAGTTATCATGTTTGAACTGCGCTAAAATTTTAAAACCTTGGAAATATTGCAGCGTTATCTTCTATTTTTGAACTTTAAATGAACTTACGATAGTTTGACTGTCACTCAGTTGGAAGAGAAAGAAGATGAAAGAAATGAAATACATATTGATGAGAGTCAATTCTGAAAAAAATATTCAAATTTACTAGTATACTGAATAGTTTTTTAAATATGTTATCATTGAAAATGAAACTGGTACGCATTCATTGCTTGCATAACATGAATACCTTTTATTCAATCGTCAAACGCAACAATTTATCCATTCTGGGGATTGGTCACAAATATTCCAAAGCAGATTTCGCGCAAACTTGCACTGTTGCAAATTTGATAAAAAGATAATTTGTTCAAAAACGAGTGTTTATTTATATACTTATTGCGGAGTCCTAAAATCTCGTAACTAAAATTTTGAAGAGCAGTTGGCGTTCTTTGTCGAAATGAGGCCTTACTAAACAGAACCTAACGGAAGACAGTTTAACAGATACATCCAATCATTTGTATTTGGTACTGGTAGAGGATGCCACATATAAGTACTAATTTTGATGCATTGTGGAAAATAATTAGTTATGCAAAGCTGTCGCGACATTTTTTTTTGCACATTTTTTATTCCGTTTCGTTTCGATTTCGAGAAAGGGAAAAACTGCATTGCTTTATCGCTTACTATTTTTTAAACAAAATAAATAGTATTATGATTCCTTCAGGTGTTTATTTACTAAATATATTTCATTTAAAATTATCTTCTGAGGAAGTTAATACTTCTAAGCGAGTTAACAAATCACTTAATTTTATCTTTCTTGATTTAAGGCCATGGAGTTTGTCAATTTCTTTGGGGAGCTTAAATTAAATTGATGACTACATTTCTACGCATGAAATAATTTGTATTTTTTTCCAAAAAATTTCTATAGCAATATGCAAATCATTTCGTACCAATATTGGATTAAAGAACACAGATAGGATTATTCAACACTGCACAGATTAAAAATTCATTCAACCTGTCGTGAAAATTTTCTTCTGTGGATAGTCCAATGGATTATTTGTGTTGCGTGGAACCAACTCCTATGAAGAAGGCTTTATTCGTCTCTGCTATATCACAAACAAAAAAAACAGTAAAATTTGACAAGCTTATATATTAGGAAGTGGGTGTGGTTTTTTTCTAATTATTCAAACATTTAAAGAGATGTTGATTCGCATACATCGGAATTTGTGAGAATATTGTTATCAGATGTAAATTGGATAGATGAGAACCATGAACACAAAGATGTTAATTTGAATAACCAATGCAAGCAATTGAAAAGAAAAGCATTTCCTTTATACAAGGATAAGAAACATGGGAATGTGAATTTAGACAGATTTTAAGATGAGATAATTAATGAATCATGAATCATGAATCATGGAAAGCATTCCCATCTTACACAAAATTTATTTTAATTTTCGCGACTTTCGCGACACAACCAACTAATGCCAACTATCTATCAGTTTCCATTTATGCAAATGTTACACCCTTTGTATGCGTCATCTTAAATTTTAATATTGAACTTTCTTGTCATATGAATTTGAGTACCAAGCGAATCTTCAAATCATGATAACCTCAATAATGAAGCAAATTATTGAAATTTAAGGCTTTTTTGTCATTTAGACATTCCTTATCAAGCTTCTTTGTATGCAGCTAAACGAATGAATTGGCCCACCTACGCATTCCTCTTGTCATCGTGTCAACAAGCCTGTGACAGTTTGGTCACTAAGCCTGGAATCCTTGGATCATTTGTCACTGCCGCTTTAGCAGAAATTCAAATTCTCCCTCAAAATAGATTCAGTGTATAAAAAATGGTTCAAATAATTAAAAATTGAAATAAAATTG